TAGGCAGCTGATAGTCACGGTCATTCTCTTTGAACTGCCTGGCTGACCTGGGCTCTTCCTGGTAAGAGGAATGCGGCTGAATGACCAGGCAGGCCTGGTGAGCAAATTCACCCACCCCCACCAAAAAAAGGAGGAAACACAAAACTGGGAGTCATGACCAAGTATTTTGGTCCCATAAATTCCTCCAGGTAGTGGGGTCCTGAACCTATTGTAGCTTGTTTCAACTCAATTATGAAGTTTGATGGTGGGTAATTTATCAGTGTTAATTGTCTGCTAATAGAAGCAGCAAATAAGAAAAGAAAAGAAAAAGTAATGTGAATACTTGGGAAGCAGAGACAGAACAATTACTGTTAGCTCAAGATCATTCTGGACAGCAAGTCCCATGTGGCCTGAAGCCCCCTTTCCAGGGCTCATGTTCTTTGCTTGTGGCTCCACTCCATAGCTCAGAGAGCAATCCAGGGACTAAAGCCTCCTCTCTACTTGGAGGGGATTCACCACTGAGGCCAAGCCCACCTCTTTCCATCTTGCTCACTCTTAAAATACACAATACACATATATACATGTGTGTGCATGTGTGTGTTGTTCTCAGGCAGGTCAGGGAACCCTTGATGAGGAAGCAAAATTCATGCCTTAATACCGCACAGTTGGCCATGTGATGGTGGCACACTCCTTTAATCTCAGCACTCAGGAGGCAGAGGTCTGTGAGTTTGAGGTCAGCCTGGTCTACAGAGCAAGTTCCAGGAAGGCTCCAAAGCTATAGAGAAACCCTGTCTCAAAATACAAAACAAATAAACAAACAAACAAACAAACAAAAAACTAAAAAAGCCAGCAGCAAACAGGGTTCTCCCTTATTTCCACACTTTCCCTCATTGACTGGGTTTCTGCAGAAGAAATTCCAATCATTACTGGCCCACATAAGTGTCCAGGATGTGAGTCGCCCCTTTATTTCCTTAAATGACCTGAACCCCCACATACACCTCTGCCTGGGTGTTTGTATTAGTTCCCATTCTGCAGAGAAACAGAACCGATAGCAGAAAGCCAGGGTGGATATGTAGTTCAGTGTGTGTGCCTCGCATGCGAAGCTTGCAGTTCCACCTCAAACACTGCAAAAAAAGCCAGGCCTGCGAGTACACAGCTATCACCCCAGCACTCGGAAAGTAGAAGCAGGAGAATCGGAAGGTTTCTTTGTTTTGTTTTGTTGAAACAAGGTTTCTTTGTGTAGCGCTGGAACTCACTCTGTAGACCAAGCTAGCCTCAAACTCAGTGATCTACCCGCTTCTGCCCGGAGTGTTGGGATTAAAGGCGTGTGCTACCACTATCTGGCAAGTCAGAACGTTTTATTTGGCTGCATGAGCCTCACACACACATACATACATACAAAGCTAACCATTCATCTATGTCCATCTGTCCTATTTTTCTGTTGTGATAGACACCATGTGCAAAAGCGACGTGGGGGAAAAAGATTGATTTCACCTTATAGGTTAGAGGTTAACTAAGGCAGGAACTGAAGCACGAGTCATGGAAGAATGATTCTTCCTGGCTTACTCCCTCAGTTAGCCTTCATCCACAGCCCCAAATCTACGCCTAGGGCTTAGAGCTGGTGTCACCCAGCAAGCTAGGCCCTCCGACATCAACTAGCAATCGTATGATAATAATGATGATAACAGTAATAATAGGCCCACAGGCTTTTGGACCAGTCAATCTGATCGAAGCAACTGAGTGTCCCTCTGCCCAGGTATATCAAGTTGATACAATTAGCCATCACGCCACCATTATGTTCAAGTGTTGGGTGGCAGAGAGGCAAGCAAAAATACACTAACATCATCAAACATTTAACATATTTGAAAGCCTAGGGTAATGGGTCTAGGGAGAGAAGAGTCTGGAATAATCATCTGGGGAATTTGGGTGAGGTCTGCTTCCACGACAGCAAAAAGCTCACCAGGTCGTTAGTAAAATGCACTCTTGGCTTTCTTCCTGGCTGAAATGCAGGTATTTGGTTTTTATCTCCTCCACCAAGGAGATGCGCCTGTGTGTTTAACATTGCTTCCTTGTGAGTACAAGGACCTCTGTGCCCCCAACCAGGAGCCATCAGCAGCTTCTTAACCTCCCCCACCTCTCGGCACACATTAGTTCCGGGGATGGCATGGGGGGTGGGCACACATCTGTTTTGAAGAGCCTACAATGCAGCTGAGCGGTGGTGGTGCATGCCTGTTAATCCCAGCATGCCGGCTGTCATTTAATAGTTTTTTTCTCCTTCCAGCTTCTTGAAGTTGCTTGCGTTTTCTTCTTAGTTTCCTCCGTGTTACCCTGAGTTGGGCTTCAGTGGCTACCTCTCCCTAACCCTTTCAGAGAGCTGGGTGTCCAAAGGTCAAAGTACCTTTTTTTTCTGGTGGGCCACCTGGAACTGCAAAGAAGCTCTACCTTCATTACAATCCAAGCTACAGGCTAAACAATACTTCCTATCTCCTGGCCATTAATAATTGTCAAGAATCATAAAAGGAATTAAGAGAGACACCCAAATTCCTGGAAAATTTCCAGAAGCCCCAGAAAAAAATTAATATTCCTCTTTTATTAATCTATTCCCTATCTTCATTTTCCCCCCTTGAGATAGAGTCTGGCCGTGTAGTCTAGGCTGGCCTGCTACTAGATATGTAACACAGCGCAGGCTGGCCTCCAACTCTCCATCTTCCTGCCTCACCTCTCCAAATGGCGGGATTACAGGCATGAGCCACGGCTCTCAGCTTCCCTCATTCATCACATAGCTACAACAGCCCCACACCCACGAGGTGAGAAGTTGATTTTCGAGTCTGTCTCTTAGTCTTGGCAAGAATATAAGTCCTCCTCACCCCAAAGCTGGCACTCTGACTGTGTAGAGGTAACAGAAATGGGGGATCATTGGCACTGCATGAGCCAGCGACAACAGAGTAGGGTTGTACAAATGCCTTCTTGTACTTCACCCAGAACTCCTGACCGAACCCAGGTTGTTCTAGAGCACAAGTGCCTTCCTATGGCTTCCGGTGCTGCCCCGGAGGCCCAACACCTCCACTTCATTTCAAAGACCACTTTTGCAAGGATGTCTGATCCTCCCTACCCTTCAATACAGTGAGGTAGCAACTCTCAGGCCTTGCTTGGCACTCCTGTCTTGAGGCTGCCGTTCTGCTTCGGATTCTTCCTGGGGCTCTGCAAACCAGCGTCTGGTTTTGCTCATCATTTTCCCTGTGTATCAATGCGCCCAGGGACCTGGATGGGAACTTCAACCTGCAGATATCTTGTAGACGCGGTGCACATTTCCTGACCGACTACAGAACGAAGCAGACGGCATCACCTGTCTTCTATCTGAGGCACCTGAGGCACAGAAAGGTCATGCAGGCCCGAGATCACCTGACTGGGTCCCGATGGGCACGATTTAACACAGGTATTCTGATTCCCAAACCAGACGCTGGGCTCAGTGCAGAAGAAACACAAAATGAAGGCATATTTAGAGCCAAAGGGAGCTACCGAACAATGAGAGGGGTGCTGAGAGCTGTGAGATCAAGGGAAGAAACTGAAGGGAGCGGTTGGAAAAACAAAACAAAACACATGAAGTGTACCAGTCATCTCTGGGCCCTGCATTTTACCTGCTTGAGGGCTCCAATAAGCAAGGGCAGGAATCCCAGTACTCAGCAGCCACCAGGCAGGAGCAGCTCAGGCAGTAGTAGTCCTTCAAGAGGCACAGCTGGGCCAGTGCACAGCTGGGCTTGCTGGGTTTGACTGGCCTGGGGAGGGGGTGTCTTTGGCTGCTCTAGGACCCAGGGTCTAGGCTGTGCTTCCTGGCTGGTGTTCCAGGAAGGGATTGGTGAATCTGTAACTCTAGATAAGCTGAAGGTGGCTCCTAATGCTCCCTGCAAGCCCTCAAGTACCAGCTCTGGGTGACCCTGCTGCCCTCGAGGGACATATAACCACTCACTCACCTCCTAACGTCACAAAATCTGGACATTTGACTTGATGCTTACTAGTCAGAAGTAATTATCCCAGTTATTAGAAGGAAACAGAAGCACATAAACCCACAAGACAAATCGGTCAGCCTGTGACGGTGACGGAGTGTCTCCATCCCTTCTTTATTTAAGGGAACAGATCTCCTTCCATGTACCCTTGAAAGAGGATCGTTAGAAAATCAGCACAGTAGCTCACTCCTGAGCAGAACTTCCTTTGCCTCTTCTCTTGGACAGTCCGTTTCCATTGTCCAGCCCTGGGATACAGATTGGGGAAGATTTGGACTCTATTCAGTATAGGGTGGATACAGCAGGAATCGGTTCAGATGCCTTGGTTCTTGGTTACCCACCACTCTCCGTCACTGAAGTCTGTCCTGTCTCTATGCAGTGTATCAACCTCTTTTCACTAAGCCAGCAACAAGCTCCCTGACTCCCACTCCCAGGATTGGCAGCCTTCTCTCTCCGTACTCCAAGACCGTCCTAGTGCTCAGAGGGACACAGGATGCTACAGCCTTCTTTAAACAGAGAACAGCACATGATTTCCACACCCTGTAGGCGCTGGCCGATGCTTCGGCGTGCCCACTGGATCGTCGGGTCTGTTTTTCGCCATTCTTGCTGGCCTGGGTGGCTCTGGAACTGCCGGCTTTGAAATGGAATTTTGGCTGGAAGGGGCTGGGCCACACCGGCACAGACTGGATGCGGGTGGTCACAGAAAGATCCCCCTACACCTCATCTCGCCTCCTCCCAATTCTGGCATTCCGCCAGACCCGCCAGACCGGCCCTTCCCTGCGCCCACACAAGAGGAGCGGGGAAGAGCGAGCAAGGCCAGCATCCCTGGCTAGTGGCCGCGCGAACTGGCCCTAGCGCCGGTGTCCCGCCGGGACGCGCGCATCCCGAACGGGCTGCCAAGGCCCACAAAGCCCGGGCCCCGCGCCCCAGCCGGGCGAGCACAGAGCGGGGCGGGGCGGGCCGCGCGGGCCGGGGGTGTCGGATGTCACCCGCCGCGTACACCTCGGCCGGGAGGCGGGGAAGCGAACCATTGAGATGAGGAGACCTCCTCGGTCCTAGAGCGGTGCAGGAAGTGTCCCAGGGGAGGGAGCCGGAGGGCTCCGGCCTTTCCTTTCCGCGGCGGCCCGGCCTGCGCGGCCCGCCAACCGGGACGCTGCTCAGCGGTGAGTATACCGTGGACCGGTCTCCCATGTCCTGCTGCCTGAACCCGGATCCTGCTCCCCACTTCCCGCGCTCTGATCTCCAGCCCTGCGCCTGGGTCCCGCTCCCTCTTCTCCACTTCCCGCGCCCTGGCCCAGATCCCTGTTCCCAGAGCTGCGTCCTCATCGTTGCCCTCGGGGGATGAAGCAATACGAATGTCTTTCAGGCGTCTCCCTTCGCTCCCAAGCCCAGCTGAAGCTTTCTAAATGATCCCGAGACAGGGTTTGCTGCCCAGGGACGTAGTCTGGCCCCTGCAGAGGAGCCGCCTCGGCCAAGACACCAGGGAGACCGGGCTGGAAGGTGAGAACCTGCAGCCCTGCAGTCCCAGGCTTCGAGGCGAAGAGCCAGCAAACCTGGAAGAGTGTAAGCGACAGAAACCCCATAGTTCTCCTGGCCTAAGATACCCTCCTCATTCCTTTCCTCCAATTCTGCTCCTTCAGTAGCAGCTTTGGGCAAGCCCCGCCCCTGGGGGAGCCCCCCCCCCCCCCCACTAACGGTAGTTCATTCATAAAGCTTCCGCTCCCGAGGCTCCTGCGCGCCAGGTGCCAGGGTGACAAAGAAGCACACGCCAGTCTGGCCTAGGGGCTCCCAGAGAGAGCAGTTCCACGGCAGAGCTGGGTGCCGAGGGTGGGACGCTGGATACCCCACCAGGGGCTTAGACCTGAGCGGTTCAGGGCCCAGCAGGTGGGAGACAGTGGGCGGAGGAAGCTGGGAAGAGCGCGGGCGGGGCCGAGATTGGGGATCTTAATACCGGAGTAAAATGTGAGAGTAGTCGCGGTTCACAGCCTGTTGCTTTCAGAGTTTCGCTCCGGGTGTCTGTTTGTCTTTGCTTCGGAAATCAAAGGAGTACAGAGAAATTGGGGTTCCAGGTGTTGTTCGGTTGCTTGGTGGCTTTTCTGGTCTCGCTTGTCTTCCTGCAAAGTGGCTCTGCCTCGTTAGGAATCTCTTCCAGGTGAGAGTGTGAAGTGTCGGTGGCCCTGCCTGGAGTTCCCAGAGGCCTGAGAGCAGAACCCTGTGTGTCTCCGTTTTTTGCCTTTTCTCCCAGTGTTCGGAAGTCAAGTGGAGTGGCCTGTGTGTGTTTGCTGGGTTTTGTACGTGATAGCTAGGGAGGTCTAGAGAACCCCTGCCCTACCGCGGGTGTGTGTCAGTCTGTGGCACCGAGTTTCTTCAGGAGTGGAAAGTCACGCCGGGCGGTGGTGGTGCATGTCTTGAATCCCAGCACTCGGAAGGCTGAGGCAGGTGGATCTCTGGGAGTGAGTTCAAGACCAGCCTGGTCTACAGAGCGAGTTCCAGGACAGGCTCCAAAAGCTAATCACAGAAACCCTGTCTCGAAAAACCAAAAAGAAAACGAATAGAAAAAAAAAAAGAGTCATGAAAGACCTTCCCGCGTGACCAAGAAGGTCTGTGAAGTCGGTGTGTACCACTGCCTCGAGCATGACTTGGAGAGAACAAGGGATCAGAACTCATGAGATTTAAGTTGTTTTTTTTTTAAAACCACATTTTATATACTAAAATGTAATTATATAATTTTCCCCTTCCTTTTTCTCCAACCCCCCTCCCCAAATCTTGGCCTCTTTCTCTAGTTGTTACATTGTTTTACACACACTTATTCACACACACCCCCATGTCTAACTACAGGTAACTTTAAATGTGTATCCCTTTGTAAACATCTGTGTATAGGTATGTACACTTGAGTGCAGTGCCCATGGAGGTCAGAAGAAGGTTGGTGGAGACCCTGGAGTTGGAATTACAGGGCTTTGTGAACAGCTTGGGGGCGGGGGGAGGTGTACCCTGAACTGCTAAGCTGTCTGTCCCTCCAGCCCCCAGAACCAGATGGACTTTAGATGTACAATAAAGACCATAGTTCCTATGCTGCACTCAGTGGGGTGTAAGACTTGTCCTAAGACACTGAGATTTGGGGAAGAGGAGCAACTTTGCTGCACCAACTAACCTAGGACCTTGCACCTCTTGCACCCCTATGCCTAGCGATGGTGTTTTAAAATACAGTGGGTTTTTTGTTGTTGTTTTTGTTTTTTGAGTTCCTTCTCTGCCTGCAAGTTTTTGCCCCTGCCGACATACAGAGGGCAGGCTCTGTTGGGCTCTTATCCAGCCATTCTGTCCTTGGCAAAGTGGCATTGCCCCAGGATGGTCTTGGATGGCTCATTCTTTGCATTTTTTTTTTCCAGTTTAATTTGTGAAGATCTCAAGAACAAAGACAGTGACTTTGGTGCCAAAGCTTCAAGATTGTGGCTTGCTGGGGCTATATCCTCCAAGAAGACCTGTCCCCTAAAGGTATCACAAGCCTGGGTTACACATATCTGCATGTGGCCTTGTTTTCCTGGGATACTGGAAACGTCAGTGTCCTGTTGAAATGCTACCACTTCTCTCCCAGATTTCCTGCCTTCACTGCCACCTCTTAGGGGAACCTACATGGAGTGATGCTCATGGGAAGAGCCATCTTTCTTTCTGCCCCCATGTGTAAGAACCAGCCACACCAACACTTCATGTATTTCCCAGGGATTCCTGAAAGGGCTGGTGTCCTGTGGGCTTTGTCTACCCCCGACCCCCAGAAACAACCACAGGAGACCAGAGCACAGAGCATTGAAGCCAGCAATTTCTGTTTGGAAATAGGGCCGTCTTCTGCCGCTGACCCCCATCAAATCCCATCATGCCCACAGCCCTGTGCCCACGAGTCTTGGCTCCAAAGGAAAGTGAGGAGCCCAGGAAAATGCGGAGTCCTCCTGGAGAGAACCCCAGCCCTCAGGGCGAGCCTCCCAGCCCAGAGTCTTCTCGCCGCCTCTTCCGCCGGTTCCGCTACCAGGAGGCAGCAGGCCCACGGGAGGCCCTGGAGCGCCTCTGGGAACTGTGCCGGGGCTGGCTGCGGCTTGAAAGGCACACGAAGGAGCAGATCCTGGAGCTACTGGTGCTGGAGCAGTTCCTGGCCATCCTGCCATGGGAGATCCAGAGTTGGGTGCGTGCCCAGGAGCCGGAGAGTGGAGAGCAGGCTGTGGCTGCAGTAGAGGCTCTGGAACGGGAGCCAGGGAGACCCTGGCAGTGGGTGAGCACCGGGCATCTGGGAGAGGGGAGCCTGCTAAACTTGTGAGACCCCTAACTCCAAGATGAGAAATTCTGCCTAGACCCAGTGTTTGGCTACCTAAGAAAGCAAACCTTCCTAAGATAGCAAACGTTACGCTTTATGAAGTCTAAGTTGAGCTGATTGTTACTGTTGAGTCCATGGGAGGCAGAACCAGAAGGGAGAGGGCCTACCCAGACCTGTGCAGAGCCTACAGGCAGGGCTCTGTCGTACTTCTCTCTGCCTGGCCCTCACTTGCTCTCTCTGGGGTTGCAGCTCAAGCACTGTGAAGACCCGGTTGTGATTGACGATGGCGATGTGCCTGGACCTCAGGACCTTGAGCAAGAGCGAGTGTCAGCGGAGTCCCAGAGCAACCCTGACGCCCAACCTGTGGCCCTTGCACAGGGCCTAGGGCTCCTCAACAGACCACCAGGCCAGCCCACTGAGGACCCAGGTATGGAGCCTGTAATGAGTTGGGGAGCTGGGTTAGTTGTACACCATCCGTGTGCTCTGGTGTTGACTAATGTGACCGACGACAGCTTTTTAACATTCTCTTGTCTCCTCTAAACCGTGAACTGTAGTTGTGGTCTGGGTCCTTCCGCAGAGCAACCGACCCAGAGTCTCTTCCTGGTATTGAATCCTCCCAGAGGGAAGGTCTTGAGCAGATGGTATGAGGTTATATGGTGATTTCTTTACGGGTGTTCTCAGTGGGGACATAGTCACTAGGACCGGGACCTGTGGCCTGATCTGAGCAAGGCTCTACTTTCCATCCTCTCAAAACCACATTGTCTTGCCTGGGTTACCCTACAGCTGTAAGAAAATCTAAGCTCCCCCGGGAGAGAACAGTGACCTCTCCTGCAGATGGTCCCAGTGCTTTCTGGCAGGGTTTGAGTATCCAAAGCACCCAGCAACTGCAGAGACAGGGCAGAGTCATGCACAAAGCCAGAGCCACCATTCCTCTGAGCTAGAGTAAGACACCGATTGGTTCCTTGAGGAACCAATCCTAGGGACAAGGCCTAGGGACCAGTGTTCCTCTTAAAGATAATATTGACATGGTGGCGTGGTGGTACACAGTTTTAATCCCAGCACTCAGGATGAATTTCTGTGAGTTGGAGATCAACATGGTCTATATAGCAAGGTCCAGTCCAGCTAGAGATACAGCACTTGGGAGGCAGGGGCAGGCAGATCTCAGTGAGTTTGGGGCCAGCCTGGTCTATGAAGCGCGGTCCAGGACAGCCAAGATGTATACAGAGAAACCCTGTCTCCAAAAACCAAAAACAGAAAAAAGAAAGGAAGGAAGGAATACAAGACAGCATGGCAGGTTTTCTTTTGTTTTCTGCGATGGGTCTAGTTTTGTTGTTGTGTTGCTCAATCTGTGGAAAACTCAATCCTCCCACCGAAACCTCTGGAATACTAGCTCTGTTCAGTAGTTTTGTAACTTAGACATGTGCTGTGTACTTTAATTTCTCATCTTTTATAATGCCTCCTACAGTGTAAATGCTAAAGGGCCAGAAAAAAGTATGCGCACAGCATTCTTTTTGTCTGATTTGTTGGTCTAGTCGGCCTTGTGATCCTGGAAGGTTTTGGCCCCTTGAGGTTTCAGACATGTTTGGGTGGCCAGGTTACTCTAATTATAAAGGGAAAAGTGCATTCTTGTGATTTTCAAAATTGTTTCTGGCAGTGAATTTTTGAGTGAGCTGGAGGTCCTGCTCTGTCTGTGGAGGGCATCTGCCTGTGTGTGTAAGTCCCCAGTTCAGTCTCCAGGACCTCACCCAAACTAAAAACAAAGGCTGTTTTCTCGTTTTTCTTTTTCCTTCTCCTTTCCTTCCTTGTCCCATCCGTTTCTCTTTTTCCACTTCCCCTTCCTTGGGTTAGCCTCAAATTCATGTGTCTCCTGCCTCAGCCTCCCGAGTGCTGCAGTTACAGGCCTGCTTTTTCATACTTGGTGGTAATAGTCTATTTAAAAAATAGTTGTGTATGTGAATTTTATATGTGTGTGTATACATATAAAATTATATAAATGTATGTATGTTCACACACACGTATATACAATTTTCCTGCCTGAAAAATGTTTCCTGACTTCTGCACAAATCAGAACTCTGCAGTCCCCTGGCTAGAAGTGAAGGCAATATTGACTTGGTGGGGCTGCCATCAACGTTCTACACACTGGATCGCTCCGCTAGCAGCAGTTTATTCTCATAGCTAGCTGTGAGGCTGCAGGTCTGAAGTGAAGGACTGGTCAGCCTTGGGTTCTCTGGGTTTCCTTACATTAGCAGGTAGACAACCACTTCTTGCTGTATCTTCTATCTGTACAACTGTCTTCTAACTACCCCTCTTTAGTGACCACAGTTATGTTGAATTTGGGTCCATCCATGCTCATGACCTCATTTTAACTTAATTGGTTTTTTGGAGAGCCTTCCTCCAAATACAGTCACATTCGGAGGTATCTAGGGTTAGAATTTGAGCATGTAAATTTCCAAGGAACATAGTTTAAACATACCAGGAAACGGAAGAAGCCATTTCCCCAAGTCACCAGTACTGTTTCCTGCAGCCTGGGATGTATGTGAGCAGTCTTAGGGGAGGAATGCCTAGGGAGAGGCCTGCTGTGAAGAATCTTCTATATTCTTCTGAGATAACATAGCATTCACTCAGGCTTTGGGTTGCTTACATGAGCGATACTCAGCACAGGACTTCCTGGTGCACAGCATTTGGGAAAACATTAAACACTAGGATTTGCTAGAGATACAGCTTCTCATTGTGAGGCTCTTCCCCCAAGGCTAGGCTTTGTTTGGGTAGAGTAAGAGCGATCAGTCCTCTGTGATAGGTGGCGGGCATTAGGGAGCAGAATTAAAACGTTTCCTCCAGAAACCATAAAGAACTTTAAAACTTTCTTGGGAAATCTGTGATATGGCATGAAATAGTTAGAAATAATACATTATATAGCCTCTATTGAGACGCGGTCTCAGCCTGGAACTCCCTGTAGCTCAGGCTGGCCTCAGTTTGGATGTCTGTACCCAGCCTACCAAATGCTGGGGTTGTAGCACCACCACACCCTAAGTTTTAAATTCCATGTCTGAGCAAGGTTGAGCTGTGCTTGTCATCCTATGCCTGATTCATTTTCTTAGGAGATGCACAGATAGGAGGATTTCACCCTTTCATGACTGACTAGTATCCCAAGTGCCTATTTTTGTTTGCGTATTCTCTGTCTCCCCCTCTCTCTGACTCTTGTTTTGTTGAGTCAGGTCTCCCTGAGTATCATGAAACTTGCTGTGTGGCCTCAAACTCACTGAAATCCACCTCCTCTCCCTCCCAAGTGCTGGGGAAAAGTGAATGTTATGAGACAGTTTGCAGCCTGGTGTGGTGGCACACGCCTTTAATATACATACATGTATACACACATGTGCATATAATATAGATACATACATTTATATGCATATCAAGTGTTAGGTTAGATTATGGCATTTTAGTAATATGTTCCTGTTGATTGGTTTCTTCCCCATCCTTCTGTCCATCCCTCCTTTATTCTACCTTATAGCCCCCTCCTACTTGGATGTCATGTGTCCCTTATCCTCCTTACCCTTCCTTAGCTCTTCTTTTCTTCTCTTGTAGGCCATGTTTTCTTTATCAGTTCACTATCAATAGATAATTTGATCCCATAACAGCTACTATGACAAATTTCCCAGGTAGCGTCAGGTTGACTTGCCCCTTGGAGGTTCCATTTCTTTTCTTTTGGGTTTATATTTTCTTTTGGGTTAGGTCTTTGTTGCCTCTCCTGGAACTTAAAAAGGCATGCACCACTACCATCCAGCCGGTCATAGTTTCTGTGAGAAGTTTTTGGTGTTGTTTGTTTTTGTTTTTTCAAGATAGGATTTCTCTGTGTGCCCCTGGCTGCCCTGAAGCTCACTTTGTAGACCAGGTTGGCCTCTAACTTCAAGATCTGTCTACCTCTGCCTTCCAAGTGCTGGGATTAAAGGTGTGCACTGCTACCATCTGGCTGTTTTTGTTTTCTTTTCCTTTTTTTTTTTTAAACATTAACTGTCTAGATGTATTTGTGGATTTTTAAAATTTATTCTATCATATAATACGTCCCAACTACAGTTTTCCCCTTCCTCCCCTCTATGCCCCCCCCCAATCTACTACTCTTTATTTCCCTTCAGAAAAGAGCAGACTTTCCAGTTACATCAACCTAACACAGCATAGCAAGCTGTTATAAGACTAGGCACATCCCCTCATGTCAAGGGTGGATGAGGCAATCCCATAGGAGAGCAGGCAGAGTCATGGCCCTGTTCGTTCCCGTTCTCAGTAATGGTACCGCGGCCACACTAACCTGGACAACAGTTTTCTGTGGAGCTTTGCAGGTGTCCAGCTTACAGATGTATACTGTTCCACATTGTCCTCACCTTCAGTGGACCCTGGTGCCACAATGTTGGCCTTCATTTGGGATTTTGTAAATATTCATACATATCAGTGCAAACATGCTATGGTATGCATGTAATGTCAGAGGGCAGCTTGAAAGAGTTGGTTCTTTCCTTCTGCAGTGCAGTGCCTGGGATTGAACTCAAGTCATTGTGTTAGCAGCAAGCCCTCTTACTCATTAGGCCATCTTCCTGACCCTGTGTTTAGTTTTTGAGTTTTATAATAGTTGAAGCTAGCTGATTCTCCTGCCTCCATCTTTCAAATGCTGGGGTTATGTGTGTAATTATTGTACCTGGCTCTTTTGGGGTGTATTTTAGATGCTGAAACAAGTCCCTGGATCTACAGAGGTTGGATATCTAATTGATCAGGCCACCCTAAAGCCAGGCATTCCCTGGGACAGTCCCCATTGTCTCTCTGAAAAGACTACCAGAACCCTTGTGGTTTGCAAAGGGCTCGTTTTGCAAGTTAAGGTAGAGTGGGGTTTATGCAGAGCAAAGGAATGGCCCCTGTTGGTCCCTCTGCTTTTCTTTCCTTGCACATCTGCAGCACAGAGCCACCCCTGGAAGTCTGCGAGGTTATGGGGCCTGGCTCCCTTTGGGACATCTTCTCCATCTCTTCCAGTTCCGCAAGATGGTTTCCTTGTTCAGGAGCAGAGTGTCAGGGACGCCCAGCCGGTGACCACCTGCCCAGCGGTGACCACCTGCCAGCTGCCCCCGGTGAGTGATTTCTAAAACAAGCTCATCTCTGAGCTGCCCCACAGGACAGTTCTTCCAGGACTCTGGCCTGATTACTGTCTGCCACCGGATGTTCAGCCTTAGCCCCAGGACCAAGGTGAGCAGGGCTGAGCTTAAAGATGCCCATTGTTTCTGCTCTTCCTGCAGCTCAAAGGGCTGCTTGCCGGGACACTCCAGGAAACTGCAGGTGTACACAGAGAGCCCCTGTAGTAGCTGTCTCTCCTTTAAAATCCCCCAGGGAAGAGGATTTAGTTACTTCACAAAGATGAGGTGATCTTCAAAATGGCAGCTAGGTTTCAAGATCGTAAAGCAGTTGGAGCACTATCACGTGACCACATGGGGTCACATGGGGCTCCCTGGTGTGTCTTGTCTGCTGTGTCCCTGGGCCACGTTTGCTTGTTTCAGTGTTCTGAGGAGTGCGGTGGTGTTCTGAGAGGGTGCAGCCGGGCTCTGGTCTCGCAGGAGGAGCACATTTCTTTCCAGCCCTGTTTCCTCATCCGCTGAGGTCCTCTTCGCTTTTCCCTTCTCGTTGCCCTTTCTGCTGCCTTCCCCCAGAAAATGTAGGTTCCATCAGGGACTGCACCTGTAGAAGACTGTGAAGAACTAGAGATTGGCACATGCAGAGTTGACAGCCCGACTCCAAAATGCTTAGGGCTGTTAGGTTTGGGGTGGGTGTTGAAATATTTGCATACATAAAATGAGAACTTGGGTGGTGCTGTGATGTTGCACACCTTTAGTCCCAGCACTGGGGTGCAATCTCTGAGTTCAAGTCAGCCTGGTCTACAGGATAGCTAGAGCCATTAACACAGAGAAACCGTGTGGAGAGGGGGCGACACACACAGACAAACAAGCTAGAACTTGGAATAAGATTCAAGTTATGCATGTAACTTTTTTCATATGCATTATATACATAAACTGCAGGTCATTTAAAGCTTTCTTTAAAAAGAGGTTTAATTGAATGTTTTTGTTTGGGCCTCTTGCCATACTCCCCACCGTTATTCATAATGTTTTGAGGCTAGCGGTACAGGGTATGGATTACAGCACACCCCACCTTCTACCCTGAACTCTCCAGCCTAGGGACTGGGTTCCCCATCCCCCAGAGGCTCTTCGCCATATAATCCAGACATTTTGGTTCCCCTTCCCTTTAGAACCTTTGGCCTCCTGGCTGCTGCACCTGGTTCCCCTCTCTTTGTTTTCCTTCTCCACACCACATGGCACTGCACAGCCTGGTCATGTCCAGTCTGGACTCTCCCAGACGTCCCTGCCTCTGCCTATGCTCTCCCACTTATCTACAATAAACTCTCTCCTCCACCATACCGAGAGCAGTCGTGTCCTTTCCTTTTTATTTCTTCTTTTTATTCACTTGGTGAGTTCCAGGCCAGTGTGAGGCCCTTGTCCACTGTTAACAATGACAATTAAAACTATAAAGGTAGATGGAGTGACAACAGCTGAGATTATCTTTGGTCGCTTTACGTCCATACTTAAGCAAATGAGCGCAGTGGTACAGATGGGCCTCAGAGACTTGCTTGTCCCTTCTGTCTCAGAAGGACACAGTGAAAGCTGGCTCAGCAATTAAGACCTGAATTTGATTCCCTGCATCCACATGGCAATTCACAGCCATCTGTTAACTGCACGTCCATGGTATGCAACACCCTCTTCTGGCCTTCTTAGGCCCGGGTGGGTGCTCAAGTAGTGCACAGACAGACAAAGTGCCCATATATATATACATAAAGCAAACTGAAATTTTTTCTTAAATGTTTCAAGGGAACAAGAAAGTGTCGCTGTTGATGGAAACTGAAGGTGGAGGCTGTGACGCATTCACAGGACCTGAGGCTAAGGCATTCCATAATGAGATTCGGGAGTAGGAAACCGGTGGTTCATGCTGAGCCCTCACTGGGTGTAGATGACAAGGACAGGACAGGAACTGTCAGCTGTCAACGGGAAGGAGACTAGTCCATGCAGGGTCTTTTTCTTTTTCTTTTCTTTTCTTTTTTTTTTTTGAGACTGATTCAGGCTAGCCTTGGACTTGTGGCTGTCTTCCGGCCTCAGGCTCCCAAAGCTAGTAGGATTATAGATCTGAAGATGTGATGTCACCCTGTCTGGCTCTTAACTCTGCTGTTTTCTGGCTGTTTGTTTCCAAAAGAATGCTGTGACCTTGATAGAGTTTGAGCAGGAGAAAGCAACGTGGACAGATTGTTGTCTTCTCCTTTGCTGGCTTAGCTTGAAACTGAGTTAAAAATGATCCAGGCTCTTCTCTGTTCTCTGACCTGTGTTTCAAATACCTCAGCTTTTTTTTCCTACTGTTTCCTCTTTATAATTTACTTGGGTTTGTTTTGTACGCATGACTGTATAACACGTGAGTGCTAGGAATCAAAAGCAATAAGGATTCTTAACTGCTGAGCCACCACCTCTCCAGCCCTGCCCTTCCCACTAGACTTTCAGAGCAGCATCCCAGGTGACCGCTCTTTTCCTGTTCTTTAGGTGACCTTCTGTTCAGGACTCCTCCTCTTTGGGGAGGGGCTCTTTCCTAGGAAGTTGTGCTCTAAAGAGTAGGGTGGTTGGTAGATGAGATCTGTGACGTCCTTTAGCCTAGTTTGCCACAAGTGGTAGGAGGAAGGTGGGAGAGAAAATCCACTCACCACGAGGCCTGCTCTGTATTTTTAGATGTGGCTTGTTTTGGAAAGGCTTATGTGGGTATGGGTAGTTGAGGTTTTTTTTGAGCAAGAATATGTGGCTGGATTTGGTCTACCAGTTTACATGGTTGGGAGAGAGAAACTGTTCATCATTTAGAAATTAGTAACAGAGGACTGCAACATAGATCTGTTAAGCCAACCTATGTGTTTTTTCCTCTGAACAATGAAAATATTTAGTAATTAACAAAAAATCCACTAACAGACTAAGGCCGAGTAAGTTCTCGAGACCTGGAGAGCTGATGAGTTTCTTGTCTAGTATTTCCCACATGGGGCTTTGTTGCCCACACAGCAAGATACTCAGCCAGGGCGCCTCCTTACTCTGCTAATGTGTCCCCTCAACATACTCAGCCAGTGTACCCCCTTACTCTGCTAATGTGTCCCCTCAAAATACTCAGCCAGTGCACCCCCTTACTCTGCTAATGTGTACACCTCAACATACTCAGCCAGTGCACCCCCTTACTCTGCTAATGTGTACACCTCAACATACTCAGCCAGTGCACCCCCTTACTCTGCTAATGTGTACACCTCAACATACTCAGCCAGTGCACCCCCTTACTCTGCTAATGTGTACACCTCAACATACTCAGCCAGTGCACCCCCTTACTCTGCTAATGTGTACACCTCAAGGCAATTTGGTTGTCTAGCCACTGGGAATTTTTGTTTGTTTGTTTTCTAAGACAGGGTTTCTCTATGTAGGCCTAGCTGTCCTAAAACTTGCCCTGTAACCAGGCTGGCCTTGAATCCACAGAGATCCCCCTGCCACTGCTTCCTGAGTGCTGGGATTAAAGGCATGCTGCACTGCCACTAGCCAGTTGCCACTGGCTTTTAAATCACACTGTAGTGAAGTGGCCACCCTGGCATCAAGCTGAAGGGAAGGCTCTGACCCATGTTGACATGAGAAGTAGCAAATTATCATTGCAAAAGGGCTTCTCCATAGGAGCTCAGCACCATCTTTCTGTTCTCGAGTCCCCACAGAAATGAATTGCTTGGTTTCCTCTGAGTCAGGTTTGGATATATGCAGGCGCGTTGTCCCCTGTGATCCATCCTGTGTTGTCTCCCCAAGCATCACAGATTTGTCTTGTTTTATATGACTTGGTGATTAAGTTGTAGGTCATACTGCAGCATTCAGCTTATCTGGACTTCCATCTTAGACAGTCCATTGAGGCTTTTCTTAAAGTTTTTGTTCTTAGTTCAGTGCCTGCCTGTTTGATAATATTGTGGTGAGTGTTTTGGGGGTAGCGAGAGTGTAGTATGAGCACCTGGCGTGGATTGGCTAGAGCGGAAGATGTGAGGTGGATCCAGTGTCTTTTGGTGTTGAGACTGGTGGTCAGGAGGAGGGGAGTTACTGTGAGAGCTTTGCAGGTGGTGGCAGATCTAGCATTTGTTGGAGATGGTGAGATTCTGACTGAGCAATCAACTTTCTGTGTCTGGGCCAAAGGGACGAGAATAACAACTGTCCATAGAAACCATGACAAGCCAGCATAGTGGTACACACCATTAATCCAAGTGCTTGGGAGGTTGAGGCAGGTGAAGTGGCTGTACGCACTGAGACTCTGTTTCAAACAACAACAAAGAAGCTGGAGAGATGCTGGCTGCTCTTCCAGAGGACCTGGGTTCAATTCCCTGCATATACATGGCAGCTCACCACTGTCTGTTAACACCAGTCCCAGGGATTTGATGCCCTCTATAAGCACTGCAGGCATATGGTGCACAGACATACATACAAGTAGTTCACCCATACAACAAAATATTTTTAAATTTTTTAATTAAACCTTTAGCTATTTTTAGTGGCTTAGAATAACAATCTAAAACACAGGGGCACTAACTGGCTTTATACAGCATAATTTAAAAAAAAACCCTCAAGAAAAAAATTAGCATAGTAACTATAGAGTGGGCATGATGAGGAGCTGGAGAGATGGCGCAGAGGTTAAGAACACTTTTTGCTCTTGCAGAGGACCTGTATCCAGTTCCCAGCATCTATGTGGTGACTCACAACTGTCTGTAACTAGCTGGGAGATCGATGGCTTCTTGACCTCTGAGGGCACCAGGCACTCGCTTGGTACAGATGTACATAGGCAGACAAAACAGTCATACACAAAAATTAAATTAAGAGAGAATTGTTAAAAGAAAAAAGAATCAACAGCTCAAGACTCCCCCAGACCTTGGGCAAAAATGTCATCCTCAGGCCAGCACACATTTCCCTGGTCAGAAAGAATCTCAGAGCCAGTGCCAGTATCCCGGTGACCTCTGCAGGTGGGCTGCTGGCATCCTCTCTGGGAGTGTGTTTCTTCTGAGATCTGTTTCCTGTAAATGAAACCACCAACCTGGACTTGACTAGGTAGAAGGTCACTCTCCTTGCTACAATACAAAAGATGGCTTTTGGTTTTCCCTTAACAGCTTTAATGAGTTTTTGGCATCACCAAAGACTTCCTTTTCAGTGCTAAAGATTGTCAAGCCCCAGAGGAGGGTGAATCTGAAATTGTAGAGAACTGAAGGTCAGGCTTTGGGCCAACCAGTGTTCCCCTAAGTTTAGCTGAGTCTTAATCCACTTGTCCTTTCTACACCCCAGAGGGCTGGAGGCAGTAGGCAGGTGAAGACGCAATAGTACTGGGTAGAGCCCAGAAAGCTGCTTTGCCCCTTCACCATGTGAGGACCCCGGGTCTTTTTGTTGTTTTGTTTTTTCAAGACAGGGTTTCTCTGTGCATCTAGCAGTCCTGGAATTCACTCTGTAGATCAGGCTGGCCTTGAACTCAGAGAGCTCTCCCTGAGTGGTGGGATTAAAGACCTGGGCCCCCACTGCCCACCAGGAGCCTCAGTCTTTAAACCACTTTTAAAAAATCAGGCTCTTACCAGAGACCCATCTGCTGCACCCCGCCTTAATTTCTAGCCTCTGAAGTCATCAGGCATAGGTGCCTCGTGTTACACGCCACCTGACTGTGGCATCTGGTTATCACAGCTGAGAGACACAAAGGCCCTGCTCTTCCCCAGCTGACACAGCCCTGCTCTGCACTTTCAGAACCGAGTTTCTCCATTTAAGGATATGATCTTATGCTTCTCAGAAGAGGACTGGTCCCTTCTGGACCCAGCGCAGACTGGTTTCTACGGAGAATTCATCATTGGGGAAGACTACGGGGTCTCCATGCCTCCAAGTAAGACCTAGCTTCTCAGGCAGCCAAGTATATGGAAGGTGGGCGGAGGGCCTCACTCTGACTGAGGGACACTACCATGAGGTTCAGGTACTGTGGCTGAATCTGATCTGTTTACCCTCTTAACCTTGACAGGAAGCTACCTGTACAGCATCCACGGGTAATTTGTGGGTGACCTGGCTATCCTAACACATGTAGTTAGGCTCTTAGGCTCTGTCCCAAATACAACATTATTTCAGTGTTTCCATCGCTTCCAGTTGTTCTTGCCCCAGGGGCCCTTTTCTGTGTACCCAGTGGGCCTCAGAGGGATGATCCTGGCCTGCTCTTGTCACATGCTGCCTTTTACCCTTCCCCAGTTTCCCGTCCTTGCTCCTCTGTACCACCAGCTGTGCTTGATACAGCTCAGTGGCTGTCTCTCCACAGTTTCTTCTTGGGCCAGACAAGAGTTCCCTCACTGGGCCTGCCCTGGTCACCTGCAATAATAGCAGGTCACTGTTGACACTTTTGTGTCCTACCTCTTTGTGAACAGACGACCCTGCAGCTCAGCCAGACCTCTCACCTGAAGAGAACGGGCCACGGATCATAGAGATGCCAGCCCTCCAGGGTAAAGATGCGCCCCAGGTGTCCTGCCTAGGTGAGTGGCAGTCCAGAAGTGGGCAGGCAGGAAAGGAGAGAACTGTTGCAGCCGGGGCACCCCAGTTTCCCCCCACAGCGCCCCACTGTCTTGGCATTCCATGCTCTGCTTTGCCTCTAGCTTTTTGTAGAGAGTGGGAAGTCTGGATTTTGCTGTCCATTGAGACTGTTCCTCAGCTAGAGACTAGTAGAGAAGGGAAATGTCTCCCGCTGTCCATAGTAGCCTATGTTTGTAGCAAGGTTCTTTCCAGAAAAGTGGGCAGATGCTCGTGCTGAGGGCTGAGCACAAGGCACAACTCCTTTAGACACTGTGCTTGCCTGTGCCCCACCCACCCCCAGATTCTGGGAGAATTCCCTTGGGGAGAGATGGGTAAGATTGATCTGCACCACATACATGTCTGTGTGTGCCCAGGATACACGCATCTGGGTGGGGGATGCAGCTGTGCTATGCACGGTAGTAGCACTGAATAGAACCTAAAGGACTGTGCAGGGCCTGTCAGCAAAGTTGTTGCCACAGAGGTAAATGAACAGAACTGGAACCTGTGTTAATTTGTCCAGCTTCAGACCTTGGTTCGTGGTGTTTGCTCATTTGCCTCCTGTGGAATGACCCCTTTGCACCAGACCCCAGGAGGGAACGCGGCACCCACAGATCATAGCCTACCTCTTCCTTAGCTGTTTCTGCATGGTGACACATATATATATATATGACAAATTGCTTTCTCCATTTCTTTGGGAAGACCTTCCCAGTCTCCAGCCATTCCAAGAAGAAGGAAGGAAATGGGAGGAACTGCAGGTGCCAGAGCTCCAGTCCTGCCAGCAGGTGGCGCTCACTCAGAGTCCTTGTCCAGGTGAGGAGCCTGGGTGTGATGTGTGACCTTGTGGTGCTTGTGGTGCTGGTGATGGGGAGAAGGGGGGAGATGATGTGTGTGTGTGTGTGTGTGTGTGTGTGTGTTGATTAGGACATTAGGAATGAGACTGGCCAAGGTTCTTGCTGACTGCTGCTGGGGGTTGCCAGCCTCTTGTTTTCCTTTTGCTGTTTCCCCATCTCACAGTGGCTTGTTGGCTGTTCCTGGGTAGATGTGGGGGCGGGGGCTAATGTGACACTGGTCTGTATGTACCTGATGATGGGTACACCAGAATCCCGAGATGGTCTTATTATAGAGCAGAATCTAGAATGCAGAAGCTGCATTGCTGCCCTCCCAGTATGAGTCTCGGTCATGGTAAAAGTGACCCTCCAGAGGCCCCTGCAGTGTCCTGACTTAACATCCTCTAAACAGCACACGCAGGCTCTACTGAACACATCTTTGGACCCAGTGTCCCAGTGGCTTCCTGTAGTCATCACACATTTGTTCCCTTGTGATACAGGCAGGATTGGTGTGCCCACTTCATGCAGTACAGGGCACTCAGCCATCGTGCTCAGCTCCCCTCGTTCACGTGTAGACAGTGGATTTTAGAGCATGGTCCTTCAGCCTGAAAGGAGGAGGCCTCTCTACCAATGCTTTTGTCTTTTCCTTTCCTGCATTTCTTTCATGCATGTGTGGTCAGCTCTTAACATTGTTTTCTGGCCTTTAATCCCAGCACTCAGGAAGCAGAGGCAGATGGATCTCTTGTCTCTTGAGTTCAAGTCCAGCCTGGTCTACAGAGCGAGTTCCAGGACAGCCAGGACTACATAATGAGATCCTATGTCAAAAAAAAAAAAAAAAAAACTTAAACCAAACAAGCAAAAATGTTCAGTCTTGTTAAAATGTCCAAAGTCTCTTTTAAGCTACAAAGCTCGTCAGCATGGTGTTACATACTTTTAATCACTCAGAGCTACACAGAGAAACTTACTTGAACCCCCCCCACACACACAAAAGGTAGAAAATCTCTCTAAAATCACAGTGTCTTGAGCCTGGCAGTGGTGGCGTACACCTTTAATCCCAGTACTCAGGAGACAGAGGTAGCAGATCTCTGTGAGTTCGATACCAGCCTGGACTACAAGAGCTAGTTCCAAGACAGCTAGACACAGAGAAACCCTATCCCGAAAAAAAACAAAAATTTTTTTACAAAGTCTCTTAACTATAGCCTCTTATAAAATGAAAAATAAGTTCCATACTTTCTTAGTGCAAGACAGAAAAACCAGGGCACATTCAAATCAAACCCCGAAGTCCGACACTGTAAAACTCAGTGTTAGACGTCTGGGACTTACTCTCTTCTGGACCTAGGCAGCTCCGCTGTCCAGCTCTGCTGCCCATAGCCCACACACAGTTTGTCTCCTGGGCTCCACTGTATTCCCTTTCTTAATATGCAGACAACTGATTTGAGGTGACAGCCCCCAACACAGCTACGGCACACCAGCGCACAGATATCACATACATAGACCAGACTCACTACTAGGTGGAAACTGAAGCCAGAGTCGTGGGGAGCAAAAATTTGTACAAATATGGTGTAAGCAAAAGATATATTCATTCATTCGTAGGGAGAGTAGCATAGGCACTCAGGAAGGTATTGGCCCTCTTTGTTGTGGGGGAATTGAGCTGTATGGGAAAAAGAAAGAGAGTCTGTGGAGGCTGCAGCACCTGATTATGAAACAAACGAAAAGCCGGGCGGTGGTGGCGCACGCCTTTAATCCCAGCACTCGGGAGGCAGAGGCAGGCGGATCTCTGTGAGTTCGAGGCCAGCCTGGTCTACAAGAGCTAGTTCCAGGACAGGAACCAAAAGCTACGGAGAAACCCTGTCTCGAAAAATAAAAAAAAAAATAAATAAATAAAAAAAAAAATGAAACAAACGAAAAGCTATTAGCTTAGGAATAATTTTATTCTGGGTCTTTACCGACACACCACAGAGGACCGTGTATATACACAACTACTTCTATACCACTTACAGACTTTACATATCATAGAAATACTATACATACCGACACATTATACATGCAGTATGAATACCACTTACATCTCTGTTTTTGCCCTCCCTTGTGGAACTGGACAGTCTGGAAGTCTGCATACACTTCCCACAGCCTTAGCTTGTCATTTTTCCTTCAGGGATTTTTCATAATGTGTGGGTATACATGCCAGCACAACTAGCCCATCCTGTGACCTTAGTGTGGGAGGGGCTGGGTATGTTTCTAGTTATTTTAGCTTTTGAATTTCAGCACTATTAGAAGGTTAGTTTTCTTTTGGTTTGAGTTTGTTTTTCTTTTAAGACATTTTGACTGTATAGCCAGACTAGCCTGGAACTTGCAACTTACTGCTGAAGCCTCCTAAGTGTGGACTTAATCAACAGACCTCTATTGCATAGACTTCTCTTTTCCTCTTATATTTGTTTTAGATCTGCCAGTATAGTCTCATTTAACCTCTTAAAAGTTACAACTACAATCACATTCTGACATCTAGGGAATTAGGATTTCAATGTGGGACTTTGGGGAGATGTAGTTAGGCCCACAACACTCCCCTGGTGTCCTCAAGTTCATGTCCTTACATGCAGAATATATTTACCTATGTCTGGCACAATGGTAGAGGCTGAGGAGAGAAGGTCACTTTAGCCCAGGAATTGAAGCTCAGCTTTGATGGCACAGTGGGACCTCACAAATCTATTATATCACCAGCTTCTGTCCGAATGCTCATGTAACTCAGATGTGATGAGACTTCAGGTCTCGTCCTAACCCGTTCCTTTCCAAATATGAAGCAGGTAAGCTGTGTGTTAGGACAAGGGTGAGACAGATGCTTCCAAAAGTACAAAAGAAAGATAAGCCCCAAACGCTCCTGTAAAGCCTAGTTAGGTAAGTTCTGCTAGTTTCTGAGCTGAAGGAGACCTTTGGTTGGTGCTGGCTCAAGGCCAAGGCTGGCTGACGCTGAGCAGAACTGGCCCCAGTCCCCAGGCTGTGCTCTTGTGTCCTTGGTGGCAGTGCTGCTGCTGCCGCTGCTGGCCTCTAAGGAGCCTTAGGGTCATTCCTCCCCTTTCTCGTGGGATAGCACGTGTCTAACAGCTCAGCTGTTAGGTAGAGAGCTGGAACTACAACCTTCTTTGTTTATCCTTTCTCTTCCGTTTAGTGCAAAATCTTCAAAGAACCTTATTGGTCTCCTATAAGATACAGTCCAAGGGGCACAGACACCAGGCAGGGAGCTCCTCCTACACGGCTCTCTCCCAAGTAGCTGCATCTCTGTTCTCGCTGCCAAGGTGATTGACAAGGTTCCAGGAGGCCCAGGCACACACTGCCCACTGTTTATTAAGCCACAGTTTGGTGTTCTCCCCAGAAACCAGCCTTTGGAAGTATTAATCCTGCCTTGGTTTAGGTATGGTTGAGGATGCTCTCAAAGGCTTCTTCTAGAGGCTTCGTCCTCAGAGTGGCAATGTGGGAGGCGGCAGAGCCTGGTAGAGGGTCCTCAGGTAAATGAACGAGCCACCTTTAAAAGAGGAAAAGGAGGACCCCGCCTGCGCACATGGCAGCTCACAGCTGTCCTTATTCCAGTTCCAGAGGCTGCAGTGTCCTCTCCAGGCAGCAGGCACACAGACGGAACACACATGTATAGGCGTCAGGGCTGGAGAGATGAGACAGCTCAGCTGTTCCATTCTCAGCGCTTACACGGAGGCTCACAACTGTGTGTAACTCCAGTTCCAAGTGATCTACTGCTCTCATCCGGCCTCCGTGGGCACTACACACACATGGTACACAGATTAACACGAAGGCAACTATCTGTAAACATAAGATAATCTTTTAAAAATTTATTATTAAAAGAAAAAGAGCCAGGGCCTTAGTGGTGCTCACCTTTAATCCAACACTACGGAGGTGGATCTTTGTGAGTTCAAGGCTAGCCAGGGCTACACACAGAAACCTTGTGTACTTGGGGAGGAGCATGGGTTGCTCTGTGGGAGAAGGGCCCTCAGCCTTCAGCCCTGCAGTGCTAGGTAGCTTGCTCTTAAGTGACGTGACTTTCACATGCCTGGGGTGGGGAATGAGGTTGACTATGCAGGTGTGGAGACCAAAGGTCAACTTCAGATGTCACACATATTCCTCACAACTCATCCATGTTGTTTGGGGGAGGGGATGTTATTTGTTTGGTTTGGTTTTCTCGGTTGTTTTTTTTTTTTTTTGGTTTTTCGAGACAGGGTTTCTCTGTGGTTTTGGAGCCTGTCCTGGAACTAGCTCTTGTAGACCAGGCTGGTCTCGAACTCACAGAGATCCGCCTGCCTCTGCCTCCCAAGTGCTGGGATTAAAGGCGTGCGCCACCACCGCCCGGCTCTCGGTTGTTTTTTTTATTGAAATAGTTTCTCTGTGTAGTCCTGACTGCCCTGGAACTTCCTCGGTAGACCAGACTGGCCTTGTACTCAGACCCTCCTGTCTCTGCCTCCATAGAGCAGGACTCCATTTGGTTTTTAAGATAGGGTCAAAAAGGTGCAAAGTCTCCAGCCAGGCCAGGCAGTGGTGGTGCAAACCTTTAATCCCGGCACCCAGAAGGCAGAGGCAGGAGGATCTCTTGAGTTTGAGGCCAGCCTAGTTAATAGAGCAAGTTCCAGGACAGTCTTGAAGTTCAAAACAAAACCCTGGAACCTAGGGTTTATCAATTAGCCAGCAAGCCCCAGGGGCCCTGCCTGTCTCCATCTCCCCACCACTGTGATTACTAACACATCCCATGAAATCTAGATTTTATTTCTATGGGTCTTCGTGTTTCTGTGGTAAACACTTTCCCTAGCCATGGTATGCTCTCTGGCTCTGACATCTGGCCATTGCTATCATCTATCAGTGATATGGCCAGGGGAAGCTCTCACCAGAGCCTCTCCAAAACAAAACTAAACAAAGCTTCACTTTGTAAGCAGCTGCTGCAGGCGTCTGATTGTTGCCGTGATGAAAGCCGGACTAAAGCAGCTGCCTGAGGACTTTCCCCACCTTCACATTCCAGAGCTTTACTTCAGTCCAGATTTTAATGAAGGCAGGAAGAAGAAGAAAACAGTGTCTCCAGCAATCTGCTTAGAAATACTCTTGCTGTCACTTAGCTTCTGCTTGTCATAGAACACCTAGCACGCAGTTTAGCCAAGTTTTTCTGCCACCTTGCAAGAATCTCATTTCCCTTACACTTCACTGCCTTGTTCTGGCTTCCATCTGAGACACATCCAGAAGTCCATTAAATACCCGTTTCTACCAGCCACCTCTTCACATCTGTTGATAACATGCACCTTACATACTCCCAGCTTACGGGCTGGGCTCCAAAGCTGCTTCCACAGTTCTTCGTGGTTCTTACAGCTCTTCCCATACTTCCTGCTACCAAAAGCTGTGAGACTGGGATCTTCGTATCTTACCATAAGTGGAGCCTTTCCCCCTTTGGTTTGTGGATGTGCTCATGGAGGCCAGAAGAGGGCATCGGCTCCTGGAAATGAGCTACAGACTGTTGTGAGCAGCCATGGGGGTGCTGGGAATTGAACCTAAGTCCTCTGGAAGAGCAGCCAGTATTTAACCACTGAGCCACCTCTCTGGCCTCACACGGACCAAACTTTAACCACATAAAAGTTTCAGTTCCAGACGCCTTAGTGCAGGATCAAGGTCTCATTAGGGTGGGCTTCCTCCCCTCCCCACAACTACCTCTTCCCTGTGACCTCCATGATCTCTCTGTATCAGGTTTCCTGTTACAGAAATACCAGTTGTGTTGGGGCCTACCTATATAGTGGCCTCATTCCAGCTTACCTCTGTCTCCCTATTTTAAGTTAGCTCTGGGGTGAAGTCTCATTGTCCTTTCCTGTGTGTGCTGTGTCGCATTGTCTCCTGTCATCCTCTCCTCCTGCTGGTCCCTTCCCCCTTGCAAGTAGCTTCTTTTCTGCTGAAGGTGTTGAGTATTGAAGGTGAAGCCTTGTGTGTGCTAGGCAAGTTCTTATAATAAGTTAGCCAGGCTAGCCTTGAACTCACTCTGAAGATTCTCAAACATTCATCCTCTGCCTCAGCCTCCTCTGCAGCTGCCATTACAGGTGTCACACTAGACTGAAAAGATTTATTTTTCACTTTTTATCTGTGTGTGTGTATACGCAAGCATGTGGGTGCTGATGGAGACCAGAGAGGGGCATCAGAGTCCCCGTAGCTGCTTGACCTTAAGTCGGGTCCTCTGGAATAATAGCAAGCACTCCTGACTACTAAGCCATCTCCCCAGCTCTTTATAAAGCTCTGGGTTCTGCATATACGTCAACTTGCCTTTTGAAAAACTGTCTCCAAATACGGTGGCATTCTACCATCCTGGAGGTCACTTTGAGTTGGGGCACAAGGAGTTCATGGTGTAGACTTCCCGCTGTCATAATGTCATCTCCTACTGAATAAAGGAGAGACTTTGTAGGCCGCTGTAGCACTGTGTCTTCTACTGAAAGCTAGTGGCGATTAATAGAAGAAAGGTGTCACTAGCAAGGGCTCAGTACCTTCTACCTGGCCACTCAGAGGTCGAGAAAGTGAAGAGCAGAGCTGCCGTGGTCATTTCAGTCCCGTAGATATGGCTGCATGGGCTTAGAAAAGCCACCTGGCCAGAATGAGCCTTCTCAGCTGGAAAACCCGGAGGACAGCTGAGCTTTGAATCTCTCCTTCTAGCTCTGTCAAGCAGAGTTAGGTTGGGTAACAATGAGGATCAAGTCCGTCTCCCACCCTTCTCCCTGTGGCTGTGAGTTCACAGCATAAGCAGAGGGGGCTGTGCACACCATAACTCTGACACAGCCTCTGAACCTCCAGGGTCCTTGGCGGGGTGCCTAGTTAAGTACTGTAAATGGTGTGTCAAAGGTTTGCACAGGTAAGTGCCAGCTCTTAGAATTTTAAGGTCCAGTGGCTCCGGAAGAAATGCTTGGAAAGGAAAGGATTATGGGAAAACAGCAGGAAAGTCAGAAAGAGATACAGTTACTACACCAGCAACTATGCAGGACAGCGAGACCCTCAGGAATTGATAAGGAACACTACAACCCCAGGGTGTCTGGATCCCCTGTTAAGCCTGTCTGCGCAGGAAGTAGTCTAGACAGTTCCACTGACCATACTGGTATTCTGTAACAGGAGGTGATCCACCACCCCTAAAGAATAGCCTGGACCAGGAGGTGACCATTGAGATCGTGCTGTCCAGTTCTGGGGATGAGGACTCCCAACACAGCCCATACTGCACAGAGGAGCTGAGGAGCCCTGCAGAAAAGCCCCATAGTCTCTCGACCCACCGCAACAGCACGGAGGCTGGAGGCGAGGTGCAAACCTCACAAAAGTCTTATGTGTGTCCGAACTGTGGGAAGATCTTCCGCTGGAGGGTCAACTTTATCCGCCACCTGCGCAGCCGCAGGGAGCAGAAGCCACACAAATGCTCAGTGTGTGGAGAGTTATTCAGTAACAGCGAAGACCTGGATGGACACCTGGAGACCCATGAGGCCCAGAAGCCCTACAGGTGCACTGTCTGCGGAAAGAGCTTCCGCCTCAACTCACACCTGCTCTCCCACCGACGGATCCACTTGCATCCAGACAAACAGCCACCAGTGAAGAAGAGCGAGGAGGATGCCTTGGAAACGGAGGGCACAGGTACCCAAGCCCTGCTGGAGAAGAGCAAGGCTAAGCTGGGCTTCCAGTGTGGGAACTGCGGGAAGGGCTTCCAGAGACACGACTATCTGGTGAGACACCGTAGCCACTGTCACCTGAAGAGTGAGGCTCGTCCCCTCCAATGTCGGTACTGTGTCAAAACTTTCCGGCAGAATTACGATCTCCTCCGCCATGAGCGCCTGCACATGAAGCGCCGCTCCAAGCAGGCTCTGAACTCATACTGAGCGGGACGTGGCCCTACAAACTAGTCCCTGCCTAGCACAAAGCCTGAACCACCTGCCCTTTGCTCTCAGGTAGTGTCCGACTTCTGGTGCCATGCCTCTTCCTCCCCAGATAAAAAGTAGCCACCTGAGCACTCCTTCTACTGTGCCAAAACCCAGGGAGGTGAGGCAACTCTGCATCTTAGAGACCTTTAGTCACATGCTCCAGCCCTCAGAGGGACTGAGCTGCCCCATCCCATGCCTTCTAGGGGTGAGGTATGTGCAGTGGGGAGCTGGCCTAAAGCCCTGACCCTGGTCCTGTCCTCAGAAGTCAGTTTGAGGTCATTGTGTCTAGGAGAGTGTCCCACAGATGGCCAGGAGGGCCTTTGGGGTCTGGGGATTGTCATGAGACCTGATTTGGCCAGGCCACTGACCATACGGGGATCAGGAGCTCACATTTTAAATGTGTGCACCTGTCCCAACATGTCTTCATTGTGCCCCAAAGATCCTTCATAAATCTGTGATGGAAACTGCCTGTCACCACCCTGAGTCCTGCATTCTGTCAGCCCATCAAGGCTCTGTTGGACGAGCCAAACCCTGGGACAGAAGCTTCTGTGAAGCCGTGTCCTTCAAGGGTACCCAGTCCAAGGCAGCCTCTTTAGTTCCCTGGCACTGTTGTGACTGTACTAAACCTGAGCTCTTCTAATACCAGCAGGGGGCATTGTCCCAGCTGTGAGGCCTCTAAGGCCGAGAGCTGGTGTCAGCAGGGTTGGTTCTCTGGGGCTAGAAGAGGGGATGAATCATCCTGGGGCTGTCGTCACTAACCCTTGTCTGTAGCCCTGGGCTGCATACTGCACAGAGAAGATGAGGAGCCCTGCACAAACGTCTTTGCCTTTGTCTCCACTGTGTCAGTCTCCAAACTTAACCTTTTGTACAGGATCCCAGTTTTTGGGTTGGGGCGCTAACCCTGTCTGTTACAGCTGAACCCCACCTACATCTGGAGTGGCCGTTTCCAAATAAAGTCACATCTTGAGGTGCTAGGAATAAGGACTTCAACCCTGGAGTTTGAGTGGACATAGCCAAACCCCAGATGATCTCATGGTGCTGTTATCCTGCCTCAGATGAACCGATGTGGACTTGGGGTAGCTTGCTTGCCATCCCTTTGAATGCCGGGCTCAGTCCGTTGTCTGCTCTCAGAGCTGCTGTCATCTGCAAGGAAGAATCCTCATCCATGGCCTTTAAGTTCAGAGCCTGGGATTCTGGGGGTAGTTGTTGATAGGAAACCTCAAGCAATTGAAAATGTGGTCTTACTGTCCTGGCCCACTGGTGTTGACCTCAGTGTGGCTATGACTGGACCCAAGAGCTGCAGCCAGGCTGGTTCTGTAGGCTGTACCAGCTCTCAGCTGTCAGGAAGCCTGAGAAAATGAATTCACGGCCTCTGGTGCTCTATGTCCTGATTTTCACATCAAGAAGCCTCTATTCAGATGCAATCAGAGAATTCTGAGACTTTCTTTTTCTGCTCAGTGCATTGCCCAGAAATAGTAAATGCAATAAAACCACCACACCTTGAACAAGAAATAAACTGTCCTAGTTTCTGACTAGTTCTCTTCTATCCTTGTGTCTGAAAAAGGGAGAAGTTGGGTCTTTATTGGTCAAGGGAGGGAAGACTTCCACATGGAGGCCAGGGTCTTTGTATTCACCCTCTCTACCCCCACACTCTTGGCTGAGGCTCCACAGTTACCTAAACGGGGAACACGGTGGTATTCACTGGTGTATTTGACAATAAAAGTGCAGTGCTTAGAGGAGGTATCCCAGGTATACAGCCAGTACTGCCAGGGAGCCCTCATTGCTCATCCAAAGACCAGAAGTCCTGGGATGCAGCTCAATCCCAGGTTTTTTAGCTGTGAGGAACAGTGACAAGCCTCCACTAAACACCCTTTCCTTACTGGGCTGATTGGTCCTTGTCTCCCTCTGGCTGCTGAGAAGAGCCAGTTCACTTATTCCTCCAGGTCTTCTCATAGTAGCCCACAGAAGGCTGCAGGTTGAGACCCTGCATCTAAGAAGCCTCCTTCCATGCACCCGATTCCTTGGCTTCCCACAGTTGGCGCAGGTGCGTTATCAAAGCTCATTGAGTTAAAATTTGTGTTAGATTTCATTAAAAATAGCATGAAGCTGGTCATGACAACATAGGTATGTTATCCCAGCAACTCATGAATCGGAAGCAATCACCTACACAAATTGGGGAGACCAGCTCTCAACTTTTTAAATGGTGGAAATAGTTTAATGGTAAACACAGTTGTCTGATGTGCTAGGCACTGACCTCAGTCCCCAAAACCACAAAACAGCATCTGAAGCATAGCCATAGTAGTGAATGACTTAGGAGTAAGTGACTTTTAGGAGAAGAAGGGAAGTTTCTGGGGGTACAGGAGGTGGTTACATTCCCAAGCACACAGCAGAGATTTTACTCGGCCTCCGCTTTTCTGCTCATCTCCCCAACTCGCAGTGGCCCCAAGGCCCCTGTTATTGTGGCACAAGTGGAAAAGAAGGTAGTAAGCCAGCATTTGTGGACATCTAGGCCCAATGGTTTCCCCTCGACCAAAACCAACTCCAATTGGGCAGTAGGAGGATAACTGATATCACCTTGCCAGTTCCATCTATATTACCCAGACTGGCTTTGAACTTGGGAAGTACCTGCCTCCTAAACTTCCTGAGTAACTGGATTGTGGGCCTGCTTTGGGTTTGTTCATAGGATGAACTATCCAGACTCCCAGTGACAGGGCTCTCTCTCTTGAGAAGCCCAGACTTTGAGACAGGGTCTTCTATACATCCCTGCCTGTCCTGGATCAGGGTGGCCTCAAGTTCATAGAGATCTTTCTGCTCTGCACCCCAAGTGCTGGGATTAAAAGACATGGACCACCACACCCAGCTCAGACTCCCTCTTTTTAGGTTTAATTTTTAAATTTTTTAGACAGTTTTTGTGTATGGGTATTTTCCTCTGTGTGTGTTTGTGTGTGTGTATGCACCTGTACACCATGTACGGGTGTGTGTGTGTGTGTGTGTGTGTGTGTGTGTGTGTGTGTGTGTGTGTATGCACCTGTACACCGTGTGTGTGTGTGTGTATGCACCTGTACACCATGTGCGGGTGTTTGTGTGTGTGTGTGTGTGCACCTGAACACCATGTGCGGGTGTGTGTGTGTTTGTGTGTGTGTATGCACCTGTACACCATGTGCAGGTGTGTGTGTTTGTGTGTGTGTGCACCTGTACACCATGTGTAGGTGTGGGTGTTTGTGTGTGGGTGTGTGCACCTGTACACCATGTGCTGGTGTGTGTGTGTGTGTGTGTGTGTGCACCTGTACACCATGTGCGGGTGTGTGTGTTTGTGTGTGTGTGTGCACCTGTACATCATGTGCGTGTGTGTGTGTGTTTGTGTGTGTGTGTATGCACCTGTACACCATGTGCGGGTGTGTGTGTGTGTGTGTTTGTGTGTGTGTGTGTATGCACCTGTACACCGTGTGCATGTTTGGTGCCTGCAGAAGCCAGAAGAGGGGGCCGGGCAGTGGTGGCACACACCTTTAATTCCAGCAGAAGCAGGCAGATCTCCGTGAGTTCGAGGCCAGCCTGGTCTACAAGAGCTAGTTCCAGGACAGCTAGGACTGTTACACAGAGAAACCCTGTTTCAAAAAACAAACAAAAAGAAGCCAGAGGAGGGTAATAGGGCACCTGGAACTAGAGCTGCAGACAGTTGTAAGCCACCATACCATATAGGTGCTGGGAATTGAACCCAAGACCTCAGACTCTTAAACTGTGTTTTCTTTCTACAATAAAATCTCTCAGTTCTTTGCTTTGTCCCAACTCTGAATTCTTTCTTAGACACATGAGCGAGAGTGAGAGTCTAATTAGTGTTGTTGGCTTTCCTGTGGATGTAAGGCTGCCCACCGGAGTGTGGACAAACTACCAAGAGTCTCACCTGAAGAAAGCCAACTCTCCCCCTGCAGTGGGGTCTGGTGAGCACACTCCCCATCCGTGCTGAAGACGGATGGGGCTGATCCTGGGCAGGTCTTGTGTAGACAAACACAACCGTTGAGTGCTCATGACTGTAACCGCCTGTCGTGTCCAGAAGACACCATCTCACAGTAGCTCTCCCTAGTCTCTGACTCTTAGGGTCTCCCACGTTCCCATGACAGTGCCTGAGCCATGGTTGGAGGCCTTTGATACACATGTCCTGTTTGGGGTTGAGCGCACAACAGTTATTTATCCTTTACACTCTGATAATTTGTGGCTCTTTGTGCTCTGTCCATTGCAAAAAAGATTTTCTGAGGTAGTGTATGAGCTAGTCTCGTGTGTGTGTGTGTGTGTGTGTGTGTGTGTGTGTGTGTGTGTGTGTGATGTAGATGCCTGAGGAGGTCAAGGATTGGGGTCCTCCTGGAAATGGCTGCTGTGAACCACCTGACACTGGGCTCCAGTTTTCCTCAAGAGGTGTGTGTTATTAACCACTAAGCTATCTCTCTAGCTCCTGGGAAAAAAAAGAAAAACAAAAACAAAAGTTCAATTCATCACCATTTATCAAACTGGGAGTCACCGAGATCCAACTTGCAGTTATACAAACAACCACACGATGTCACCATGAGCTCAAAGTATTTTAGAGTAACAACCGGCAACCTGGATTGAAAAGAAAACAATAAATTTGACAGACATGGGAAATGATACTATCGGACTTGAAAGAACGCTCTCAGCTAACCGCATCTAGATTGACAGTTTGTGCTGGCAGTCCTGGTGAGGGCCTTATGCATGGGTCCAGAAATCGGAACAGACTACCCAACAATTTCTCACTGTGACAGCCTTGACATTTTGATACTTGGTTTCAGGGCCTTAGAAGGGGGAGGAAGGGGGACAGTGCTCTTGGTTCTGGCTGTCTGAAAGAGTCCCGTGTTGAGTAGCATGATTGCTGCTGAGGGAAAGCACTCCTTTTTCCTGCTTTGAGGGCAGAGCCCTATGTTGGAACTCCTAGAGCAGGGTGAGGCCTCTGCTAGGACCGGTCACAATATTGCCACCAAATATGCCAAATCAAAGTTTTAGAGACCAGAAGATATAATAATAAAACCCATGTTTCTTCAGCTATAACAAGTGCTGGGTAATAGGAAGGGAATGGTCCTGCAGCTATATTGTAACCACCAGCAGCGAGGAAAAGTATTCACATGGTCAACAGAACATTTCATCAGGAAAATCAGAGCACAAACAGCTTACAGTGACCCTCCATTGTCTGTCATTAAGGGAGTCGAGACAGAGACACTGGACAAAGCCTCGGGACAGGATACAGCGTGAATGAGATGGGTAAAGCCAAGTGCTGCTGCTGCTGCTTGGCTGGCTGGTCTTTGCTAGCAACGTGTGGAGTTCTCACGATGGCAGACCTCTGACTTATAGGGAACAGTTTTCTTTTCTCTATTTAGCCCAAGAGTATAAGTCTGACTCACCTCCTTCATCTTCTCCTTCCCTCCATTCTTCAGCCTATAACAATCTTGGGGGGTTTTATTATTATTATTAATTTAGAAATTGGATTTATGCATTTTATGTGCGAATGTTTTGCCTGTATGTATGTATGTTATGTGCACCATCTGTGTGCTTGGTGCCCCTCGAGGGCAGAAGATGGCATTGGATCCCTGGGAACTGGAGTTATGGATGGTTGTGAGCCATTATGTGGGTGCTAGGACTCATACCCAATTAAACCTGGATCTCTTCAAGAGCAACAAGTGTTCTTAACCAATGAGCCATCTCTTCAGCTACCTTGCAATTATTTTCATTCTCTTCTCCCCCAGCATGCAAAGCTTTTTTGTTTTGTTTTGTTTTTTGAGATAAGGTTTCTTTGTGTAACAATCCTTGGTGTCCTGGAACTTGCTCTGTAGACCAGGCTGGCCTCGAACTCACTGAGATCTGCCTGTCTCTGCCTCTCAAGTGCTCAGATTAAAGGGGTGCGCCACCACTGCCTGACCCAAAGTTTTTTAATAACAGTAAGATCCAAGGTTAGTTTTTGTAGCCAGGCTGACCCTTCAGCCCCTGGGCGCGCAAACTTTCAGCACTCGGAACAGACATAGGGTTTGGTATGGCTTTGTGGTTCCTGGGCCTTGCCAAAGTGCCAACACATCTCTTAGCCCTGATGAGGACTAGACAGGAGCACGGTGCCATGGCCTTCGGGAGACTCCAGGCCAGCTGATTGATGGTGGATCTTACCCCCAGCCTTGAGGATGCGACTTCAGTTGTCTGCTCATCCACAGTGCACACACCTTCAGCTTGGGCACTTCCAGAATCTGCAGGTTGTCTGTGACTGTCCCCAACCATAGCTGTTTTGTTCTCTCAACAAAGCAGCTTCATCCTTTGGATTATTCGGGACAGGGACAGAGGTGGCCGGTTAGTGCAACCCATAAATAACCTTTTCAGTATCACTTGTTTGATGGAGGCGTTCATCTGGCCAGAAACCCGTGGGGCTTCCCTAGCAGCCACAGGCAGATGTCCGCTCCTGGGCTCCTTGCGCCGAGCCTTTCAGTCCTTGTGGCCATGTCAGCTCCTATGGCGGTGCCTCCTACACGGAAAAGTTATTTAA